TGGCCTTCCTGATTTCACTCCTGCATGCCTGAGCAATATTTTTATACTCCTTCCTGGTCATTTGTCCAATCTTCCAATTCTTGTAAGCTTCTTTTTTGTGTTTAAGATCAGCAAGGATTTCACTGTTAAGCCAAGCAGGTCACCTGCCATATTTACTATTCTTTCTACACGTCGGAATGGTTTGTTCCTGCAACCTTAATAAGGATTCTTTAAAATACAGCCAGCTCTCCTGGACTCCTTTCCCCTTCATGTTGTTCTCCCAGGGGATCCTGCCCATCAGTTCCCTGAGGGAGTCAAAGTCTGCTTTTCTGAAGTCCAGGGTCCGTATTCTGCTGCTCTCCTTTCTTCCTTGTGTCAGGATCTTGAACTCAACCATCTCATGGTCACTGCCTCCCAGATTCCCATCCACTTTTGCTTCCCCTACTAATTCTTCCCTTTTTATGAGCAGCATGTCAAGAACAGCTCTGCCCCTAGTTGGTTCCTCCAGCACTTGCACCAGGAAATTGTCCCCTACACTTTCCAAAATCTTCCTGGATTGTCTGTGCACCGCTGTATTGCTCTCCCAGCAGATATCATGGTGATTAAAGTCTCCCATGAGAACCAGGGCCTGCGATCTAGCAACTTCTGTTAGTTGCTGGAAGAAAGCCTCGTCCACCTCATCCCCCTGGTCTGGTGGTCTATAGCAGACTCCCACCACGACATCACCCTTGTTGCTTACACTTCTAAATTTAATCCAGAGACTTTAAGGTTTTTCTGCAGTTTCATACTGGAGCTCTGAGCAGTCATACTGCCCTTTTACATACAAGGTAACTCACACACCTTTTCTGCCCTGTCTGTCCTTCCTGAACAGTTTATATCCATCCATGACAGTACTCCAGTCATGTGAGTTATCCCACCAAGTCTCTGTTATTCCAATCACGTCATAGTTCCTTGACTGTGCCAGGACTTCCAGTTCACCCTGCTTGTTTCCCAGGCTTCTTGAATTTGTATATAGGCTCTTACGATAACTCGCCGATCGTCCCATTTTCTCAGTAGGAGACAGGAGTCCTCCCCTCTTGGGCTCTCCTGCTTCTGCTTCCTCCCGGTATCCCATTTCCCCACTTACCTCAGGGCTTTGGTCTCCTTCCCCCGGTGAACCTAGTTTAAAGTCCTCCTCACTTCATTGCCTCTGCAAGTGGTGATCGAAGTTGGAAGGGCGGTTGGCTTACAGGGAAGTAGAGTGAACCAACGGGGTGGGTTTTCATCAAGGCGAAACAAACGGAACTGTCCCACCGTAGCCTGGCCAGTCATGAAACTGGTTTTCAAAGCTTCTCTGATGCGTAGCGCACCCTGCTGTGCTCTTCTAATCGCCCTGGTGTCTGGCTTCGCGTAATCAGTGGCGAGGCAATTTGCCTCAACCTCCCATCCCACCATAAACATCTCCCCTTTACTCTCACAGATATTGCTGCTTGGTGTGTGCTCCACAATACTTGTTACGCTGAGGTGTAACCGAGTCAGGAAACTGCGCCAGCGTGCTTTTAAACGTCCAAATGCACATTCTACTACCATTCTGCACTTGCTCAGCCTATAGTTGAACAGCTCCTTACCACTGTCCAGGGTGCCTGTGTTTGGCTTCATGAGCCATGGCATTAAGGTGTAGGCTGGATCCCCAAGGATAACTATAGGCATTTCAACATCCCCAACATTTATTTTCTGGTCTGGGAAGTAAGTCCCTTCCTGCAGCTGTTCAAACAGACCAGAGTTCCTGAAGATGCAAGTGTCATGTACCTTTCCCGGCCATCCCACGTTGATGTCGGTGAAACGTCCTTTGTGATCCACCAGTGCTTGCAGCACCATTGAAAAGTACCCCTTGCGGTTTATGTACCGGTAGTCCGGTGCCGAGATAGGGATATGCGTTTCGGCTATCGCCCCACCATAGTTAGGGAATCCCATTGCAGCAAAACCATCCACTATGACCTGCACATTTCCCGGAGTCACTACCCTTGATAGCAACAGCTCAGTGATTGCGTTGGCTTCTTGGATCACAGCAGCCCCCACAGTAGATTTACCACTCCAAATTGTTTCCCGACTAACTGGTAGCTGTCTGGCGTTGCAAGCTTCCAGAGGGCTATTGCCACTTGCTTCTCAACTGTGAGGGCTGCTCTCATCTTGGTATTCTTGTGCTTCAGGGCAGGGGAAAGCAAGTCACAAAGTTCCATGAAAGTGCCCTTACGCATGCGAAAGTTTCACAGCCACTGGGAATCCTCCCAGACCTGCAACACTATGCGGTCGCACCAGTCTGTGCTTGTTTCCTAGGCCCAGAATTGGCTTTCCACGGCATGAACCTGCCCCATTAGCACCATGATGTCCAAATTGCCAGGGTCCGTGCTTTGAGAGAAGTCTGTGTCCATGTCCTCATTGCTATCGTGATCGCACTGTCGTCGCCTCCTCGTCTGCTTTTGTAGGTTCTGCACATACTGCAGGATAATGTGCAAGGTGTTTACAATGCTCACAACAGCAGTGGTGAGCTGAGCGGGCTCCGTGCTTGCTGTGGTATGGCGTCTGCAGGAGAGCAGTGTTGCAGCGGAAACGGTGGATGATGACAGATGCCACGAGAATATATATTTATACTGAACGACGAGAGGACCTGCAAGGTGGATTCATGGCACCAGGAGAGCAGAATTGCAGAGGAAGCAGTGGATGACTGAATTAATTTACTCTATTGAGCTCAGTCATCATTTACTCAATTGAGACTGAGTTCATTTACAACAGCAGGAGAGCACAGTTGAAGCGGAAGCGGTGGATGACGATGGTTTGCAGACCTACTGCACCGTCTGCTGTCCGCAGCACCCAGGACACAACAGCAGCAGTGATCGTGAGCTGAGCTGAGTGGGCTCCATGCTTGCCATGGTATGGGGTCTGCACGGAAAAAAGGTGTGAAACGATTGTCTGCTGTTGCTTTCACGGAGGGAGGGGCGACTGACGACATGTACCCAAAACCACCCGCGACAATGTTTTTGCCCCATCAGGAGCTTAACCCAGAATTCCAATGGGCAGCAGAGACTGCGGGAACTGTGGTATAGCTACCCACAGTGCACCACTCCGTGAGTCGATGCTAGCCACGGTATTGAGGACGTACTCCGCTGACCTACTGCGCTTAGTGGGGACATACACGATCGACTGTATAAAATTGCTTTCTAAAGATCGACTTCTATAAATTCGACCTAATTTCCTGGTGTAGACATACCCTTAGTGCATTTATAAATCTTATTGCACAAGTGAGGGGTGCCTATATCAAAGGGAAAAGCAGACAAACAGCATAGATTACTGCTGTTCTGTTTTTCCAATATCAGGCAGTGCTAACAGCCCTTGGTTTCTTTTAATCCTTTTTTCGATTTCCCTCCTGTGCGTCTCCCGCTCCCAAGAGCTGTCTGAGCTCATCAGAGCGTCTCAAAGTATCACAAATGCTTTTTCAAGAGAGTTAAAAACAAAAAACAAGCCTTTTATCACCTCGATCACGAGGGTGAATGTGAACTGGTCAAACAAAGCTTTAACATCTGACTTTAGGTGAGTGTTTTTGACTGTTTGAAAATAAGACAGAGCTGAGAATAATTTTGGGGGCTTGATAGTTCAGGGGCTACATGGGAAATTTGAATTTCCCTTCAGTGAACTTCAGCTGTTTTATTTTCCTGCATCTCCTTCTGGGCTGCACCCTGTTATGGATAGGTGACTGTCATTGCACATCCTTATGCTTCAGTAGTAGCCATGTAACCAACATAGGCGCCGACTCTGTGAGTGCTCCAGACCCACGGGGAAAAAAAAGGTGGGTGCTCAGCACCTACCGGCCGCACCCCCACCCCCGCTCAGGTCCTCCCCCTTCCCCTAGTGCCTTCTGCCTGCTGGTGGCCCTGCTGATCAGCACATTCCCCTCCCCTCCCAGCACCTTCCGCCTGCTGGTGATCAGCTGTTCAGTGGCGTGCTGGAGGGAAGGGGGGCGGAGCGCGGGCAGGGTGCGCTCAAGGGCTGAGTTGGGGCAGGAAGAGGCAGGACGGAGCCTTGGGGGAATGGGTGGGGTGGGGTCTGGGGCAGAGCCGAGGGGGCACATTAGGAATTTGGCACCTCTGGTGACCAGCGTTGATCTGCCATAGCTGAGAGTTTTCTCTAGGATCTAACCATAGTCTGCTACAGGACTCAGAGAGCATAATTGCAGTCAGCATCTTTCTCACAGACTCTGTGCCTTCCTATGAGAGCAGGCCCTGCTCTAGATAAAGAGAAGCTTTGGGAATGGGAATGGTTCCTAAAATCGCCTGCTGCAGACAGCACGACTGGCAGTTATTCAGCACTATAGGGATTCTGCACCTATGACGTTAAAGCTGCTTGGAAAGTATGAATGAAATATCCTGCAAGGAGTAATACTTAAAAATCCTAATGTGTTTAGAGATCTACCTCTCTGTGGGGAGGGGATGGTGGGAAGAGACTTCTGGTACTGTCCTTATTTTCTCTTCCTCTCCTCACTAAGTATTATGATGACCTTCTCTTCTGGGAAGTAAGCACTGAACTTGGCTCCCTTGGGTCAGTGCTGCTTCCAGGACTGACTAGAAGTCTCACACTCTGGCTTCCCTACCATTTGTATTTTTGCTACCTCCTTAGTAGTTTTTGACCCCATGATATCTACAATCAAGGTTCCTTGGAATACATCCCATAATCAACTACATTGTGAGGCAAAAGTAACACAGGGTTAAATTAGTCTACTGACAACTTGAACATAGGTAGTTCATCATCCCAAAAGAGTGTTTGGACAGAATAGGTTTCTTTCTTGTCATTCATTTGAAATTTTACTGACAAAGAGGCGTGGGTTTTTGGTCTAGTCTCCAACAGGAACAGTTGAGAGTTTCACGTGAATTTCTATTAGTAATGTAAGTTGGATTCCAACTAGTGAGCAAGGTCAATGCATCTGCATGCTCCTCTTTCCCCTTGTTACAAACTATCTGCAGTTATTTGATGATCCTTTTGTGTTTCAGAACAACCTCAGCCGCAAGTGCCTCAGTACAGATTTCGCAAGAGAGACAAAGTAATGTTTTATGGGCGCAAGATCATGAGAAAGGTAAGTACATCTAATGGAGAGGGAAGGGAGGATGGAAAATAAAGATTAAAATTCAGGAAGATAAATGTGAACCCCCAGATGCCTGACCTGCTTACCATGGTTATTAGACCCAGCCCCACTGCATATTTTCAGAAGAGAAGTCTCTAATACGTTGGGATTGTCCTCCTGGATCAGACCATAAGTTTTGTAGTTAGTATCCTGTTAACAGGTAGTGGGTAATGCCTGATGTTTCAGAGCAAGTTCCTCTTTCCCCTAGGAAAGAATGCACTTTTCTAGTTTTGCAGGGCTGTGTGTGGAAGGGAAAGATTCCTTCCTAACTCTTATGGTTACCAGTTTTATAACCTGAGAGATGAGACATGATTGTCCCTGTCTTAGCATGCATAAGTATAAAACTTCACTAATAGTTCCTAAACTATCCAAAGTCCCCCTTTCTGTCCCTACTTTTTAAAATCAATTTCAAGTGTATGACTTGGTGACCTCCTAAAACCAATCTGTGTGTGAAGTTTTTTTTAAAAAACTAACTTATACGTTAAATGCTGAGAGAGCGAGAGAGACTTGAAAATGAACAATTCAGTTTATTTGAAAAATGCTCCATCCTTGTTTCTATTTTTAGGGTTCTCTCTGTGTTTGTGGTCTTTTATTTTAAGCTGCTTAGATGGCATGGTGATCTAGAGAGCCAGAAAACTAGTTGACAGGTTTCAGAGTGGTAGCCATGTTAGTCTGTATCAGCAAAAAGAACAGGAGTTCTTGTGGCACCTGTATTTGAGCATAAGCTTTCGTGGGCTAAAACCCACTTCATCGGATGCATGCAGTGGAAAATACAGTAGGAAGATATATACACACACACACAGAGGACATGAAAAAATGTGTTTGCCATACTAACTATAACGAGAGTAATCAGTTAAGGTGGGCTATTATCAGCAGGAGGAAAAAAAACATTTGTAGTGATAATCAGGATGGCCCATTTCCAACAGTTGACAAGAAGGTGTGAGTAACAGTAGGGGAAAAAATTAGCATGTGGAAATAGGTTTTACTTTGTGTAATGACCCATCCACTCCCAGTCTTTATTCAAGCCTAATTTAATGGTGTCCAGTTTGCAAATTAATTCAAATTCTGCAGTTTCTCGTTGGAGTCTGTTTTTGAAATTTTTTTGTTGGAGTATTGTGACTTTGAGGTCTGTAATCGAGTGACCAGAGAGGTTGAAGTATTCTCTGACTGTTTTTTGAAGGTTGTAATTCTTGACGTCTGATTTGTGTCCATTTATTCTTGAAAGTTTAGTAAGGTAAATGGGGATTTGCATTTAAAATACTTTTACACTTATCAAAAAAACAAGCTTTTATGTTGCCCTTAAGATTCAAGCTCCTTAATGGGGCATGCATTTGAACTTGAAACTTACCGGTACTGTTACATTTGGAAATAAGATAATTAAAATGACTTCATCCTTCATATGAAAAAAACTGCTAAGACCTTGGTGTGATGGTTTATTCTTGATGTCTATTTAAACCAATAAACCTCATTAATACCTACAACAGCTCCTTACCCTTTAAGCGTAAGTGATGGCAGAGACTCTTGCTATCTTATCTTGCCAGGTAAAGTGTTCTTTATTTTTTAGTTTTAATCTGAATAACGTCTTGGTAAAAACGGCATGGATAGGGTTCCTTGATTGTTTTATTTCTAGGACTATGTAATCAGTGCATGAGGTATAAGATAAATCAGGAAATGGAGAAATTAAGATTCTGACAGATGTGTTACACAGGCTGTCTTGTATTTGTGTGTATTATGGTTTTTCATGTAATGACATAAGGGATAATATATTGCGATAGCCATTTAACAAGGAATAGAAAATGTGACATGGGCATTGTGGCTGAGATCCCATTACTGTAGGAATCTTGGAGTTCTGAGTTCTTCTTTTAACTGTGCTATCTAATGATCCTGTATCCAAAAAGTCTGTATATGTGGGAGAGAATAAGTATCTGGAGACCTGACCAGGAGGCTGTTCCATGTTCCCTATTTATTATTTATATTACCATAGTGCCTGGGTGGCCCACTCATGGACCAGGACCCCATTATGGTAGGTGCTGTACAAACCCAGAACGAAAAGACAGTTAACAATAAATTGAAAAGTGTGTGTGTCTGGGCAAACAGCATGTGTGTGCAGTGCATCTCTAGATAGGCAAAACGCTCAGGCTTGGTGCTGATTTCTACTGCTCATGCCCACTGTGCAATTTTCAAAAGTTCCTGAATCTTAAGTTCCAGACAGACTTTATTCAAGCTGAATTGTGAATAGACTCTGCAGTGACTTTTTGAGTCTGCATGCTGTGTTTCAAGTTTAAAAATTCACCTGTTTCCTGTATGGGAAAAATTATGACTGTAAGGTTTTACATCACGAACAGAATATGCATTCAACCATACCAAATTCCAGAATGGCGGACTGGATTGTCCTCAAAGTTTTCACACAAAGATCAGACACCTTTGGGCAGGATAGACATGAGCACTTCCATCACAGAAGGATTTAAAAATAAAAAAAAACCACGTGAATGATGAAAACAAGATAATAGTGGAACTGTTTTTCAAGCAGAATGGTAGAACTTGTTATTAAGTGACTCCTGTTATATTTGCAAACAAATTGCCTATTTTCGTATGGAAGCTTTCAGTAGCAGCAACGTCCTACTATTACTATGACAGGCTCTGGGGTAAATCTTAACATCTCTCTGTGTGTTTTCTGCATCAGTGCTGTTTCCATAGACTTTGCCATTTTGAGACACTTTGCCAGGATTTGCCTTAGAGCTGCTTAACTGTCTGTCTTTGGCAGCTGTTCTATTTCTGGTGAAATGTCTGTCTGCCATGACATGCCTCTCTTGATCTTTGCAGTATTGTTTGTTGCAAATGCCAGTTCTTGCTATCTCACCATGCAGGACTTCTCAAGAGACTGGAGCAAATTCTTGCTTTGTTTGTGGGGAGAGTCCAGATTTCTAAGCCTTATGCCATTCCTGAAAGGACATCCTTAGCCAATTTGGCAAATATAGGTGTTCATTCTGAGTTCAGTCTTCCTAAATTCACTTTGATCCCAATTTTGTTCTTCTGCTGATTTCTTCAAACTGGCCACTCTTTCTCCAGAATGTGTGGTGGCTTTTTTTTTTTTTTCTTTTTTCTCCCCCTACACTGGGATGGAGTGAATGTCCTATTGTTTCATATTGACATATTTTTGTAAAGAGGACATCTTGATTTTGAAGAAACAGTTTCCTCTCTTAGTAAAGAATGCAATTCAGTTTCCCATTTTTGGCTTACATTTAGCTTAATTGTGTGGTCTTCAACAGGCAAGAGAAAGCTTAACATCCGTATAACTCCATGCAAGGGGACATGGGAGGTATGGAGAAACAATCAGAATAAATACACGAGAAATAACTGTTTGTAAAAAATAAATGTATTATAGGTGGTCTAGTAGTGCTGTCTGACTAACACTTCCCATTGTAAGATCTGCTTTTGCAGTTGCTTTTAACTTTACCATATTTGAATTGTTTGGGCTGAAGTTTTGGATGCTGGGTATGCAGTCATTTCTGGGTAGGCATCTGGGGAAAATGTGTTGTTTTGCTCTTGTTTTTTTTTTAAAGGCCAAAAAAAAAAAACCCACAAACAAACCCCTTACAGCCCTTTCACTGAGATGCTCATATTGGAAAGCACTTTGTATTCCATATGGTAAAATCACCTTTTCTTTTTCTTCTGGGAATTTAGACCTGTGTTTATTTTTATTATTTGTCTGAAGGTATAAAGCAGGTGAAAGATAGTAGTTTCTGTCTGCTGTACTTCTGGTAAAGTTAAATTGCTGCGTTTCTGATTTTATGATGCTTGGAGATATTGATGGCCCAGAGACCCACTTGTCTGTTGATACAAGAGATGAGACAGAGTCTGAAAATTCTCATTACAGAAGCATATAATGGAATTGAATTTCCTGAGGGATAAACAGGATATTTAAAAAATAAAAACTAGGAAGTTTTCTTGATCTTGCAATGTTTGCGTTCCTCCACTAAGTGGCACTCCAGTTACTGCATTTATTGTGCTATTTCAGTATTAGGACAGGTGTCCTCATTTATATATTTCACTAAAATGTATGAGTCTGTTCTTGGCATTGATTAAGTGTATCAGGTCTCAGTGCATCAGCATTAGTGATTGCCAGACTAATATTTACACTTTAAAAGATTACTTCTATGTTTCTGGTGCTTGCAATTCTTGGACAGAAATGGTCTAAGTTTTTTCTGTATTTCCCATCACCATTATATTAATTGCTCACTAAAAAGTACGCATGCACTTAACTTTACATGGATTCCAGTGGTGCCACATGTGTGTGTGACTTTGCAGGATCAGGACCTTTAGTGGTTGTTGGAATTCTCTTGAAACAGATTTTTGTTTTGTTTTGTTGTTTCCTGTAGGTGACAACTCTCCCAAACTCTCTGGTTGGGAACATGGTGCCTCGTCAAAGGATGCGGAAAAGAGCAAAGGTTTTGTCTTTGGCTAAGAGGTACAGTTATGTGGTAATGGAGGTCCTGTGAATTGCTGTGGCCATGTACAGATGCAATTAACTTTATACTACAATTGTAGGAGTTCTAGTTTGGCTTCTGTGGCTCTAAGGGTGAAGGACTTCTATTTGTTTTGAAAACTTAGATTTCCAAGAGGCTCAGTCCGTCTCTGTTCATGTTGGGCTTTTGGATGACCAGCTTTTCTCATAAAGTAGTGAAGGTCTCATGGTTTCCAATGCATTTGCCCACTTTTCTGGCAAACACTGGATTAAAATGGAATAAATTCTACTCTTCCCCAATAATGAAAGTTGCACTGGAAGTGGAAAGTGGGGAGGTTTGCAGTAGTTCTTAGCTGCTGTGCAGGTTTGTTCCATAGTCTCTAGAATGCACAGTGGCTCAAGGAGGAGTGCAGGGATAGAGCTGGTGATGAGCTATGAGGCATCAACTCTACCCAGAACTGTTGTGTGCTGTAGTGTCAGGCTTGTGTCTACCTCATTCTGGCTGGGCCCCCACACAGACTCCCTTTATTTGACCCTGGGTTGTGTCTAAGCCCTGAATCTGGATATGCCCTAGGAAATGTTCACTATTTTTTGCATAATGACAGGTTTCGGAGTAGCAGCCGTGTTAGTCTATATCCGCAAAAAGAACAGGAGTACTTGTGGCACCTTAGAGACTAACAAATTTATTAGTCCGTAAGCTTTCTCTCTGATAAAAATGTTAGACTCTTACTAGGCACTAACTCTATTCCTCTCTTTGTGGCAT